ATAACACTCTGACTTGTATTCAGAGCTAAAGCCACAGTACGTTGCCGGGAACCAGCTTCTATCATTCCCACGGCTCTGAGCATTTCTTCCCTGCTTAAATGACGTCGCCGCTCCATAATAACGTTGGTTTTAATCAGTAGTAGGGAAACAGTAGCACTAATAATGTCTTCAATGCGTTGTATGTTTTTATAGGGAAAATATTGACAGCTGATTTTCATCTTTTACTCGAATTTGATTCACAGTTCCTGATTCAAATTATGAAATGCACCAAAAAGGATCCATATAAATTTATAAAATCATAAATTTATTACAAAGCCACATCTCAATCTCAAGAAATCCGCATAAAAATGCTTGATCCCTAGACACTTTTGATGTGTGTATTTATCACACATAGAGGTTACACCAGAATAGTTACGTCACATGACTAGACAGCATTAGTTGAAAAGCGAGCTGAAACGTTGTAACATACTAACATATATCGGCAACCTTGGGCTCAACCCAAATATGAAAATGCGATATCGCTACATCATTGTCTATTTACCTAATGCGAACACAAAAATATTTAGACATTCCCCAGGCGGTGGTCGGTTTTCCTTTATTATCACGCGATGGACCTGGTACCCTGCACGGAGGATTCATGGCTTGCATGAATAGTATATTTCATTACTAGTACGGAATGGTTGTCATTGCAAAGAGTTCCGACAAATATCTACCCGAGCCGAAGGCGAGGGTTGACAGTCGGAACGAGTTGCAATGACGGTTCCGTACGTGTACTGAACGACTATTTTTAATACAGTTGCGAAAAAATGAAGCAATTTAATCAAATTATAAAAACACAATAAACTCAATTAAATAATAATCATTTATTTCTTATAAAAGTTATAATTCACATATACATTGGAATTGGTACAGTTTTTTATACTAACTGGAGAAGTTTTACGTTGCATATTTACTGTTTGAGACAAACTATTATTAATTTCGTATGATTGTTCATGTATATTTGTCATACAATGGCGTTTGCTAGTTGATGGAATTGGATCTGATGAATTATCATTATCAACGAAGGTACTCGTAGATGGACGAACGTTCTCTTCAGCATGTGAAGGAGACTGACTGGACCTTAAATTAATGGATTGTGTGATCTTTTTCCCAGTTTCTAGTTTGTTGTTTAATGAATCACCAATATAGCTTTCTGCAACTTTGTCCGATTTCCAACCACCTAATCGCTTTAAGGACGTCAAATTGGCTCCTGAATCGCCAATAATGTAGCAGAGGTCCTTCTGAAGCTGTGCCCAGTATAACACTCAGCATCCGGCAGACCAAGAAACGTAGCTATTTCTTTTGGCATATTACCAAATTTGTTTATGCCGATTACTTGAGCTGTACACTTCCCTTTTTAGAAATTTTGAAAAAAACGGTCGGATTTTCCTTTTTGGGACCGCTGGTTCATATATTTTTTCACTATTGTGAGAAAATCTCCTTCAACAACAAAGCTTCGCGGTATCTTATTTTTTGTGTTTGGAATCTTGATAAGTAGCATTTCTCCATGGGCTTCAATATCTTTTAAAGTAATATTGGCTAACTCCTCTCTGCGGCAAGCTCCAACAACGCCAAAAATCAGAGCAACCTAAAAAAAACGATTTGATTCATATAAATAATGTATTGACTGTATTTTGCGATTTTGTAAACTGAACACTAAAGAAAAATGTAGATATGTATACTTATTAATAAATTACCTTTGTGGCTAAATAACAATCATCGGGAGCTTCTTTCAAAAACCTTTCCACGTCATTCGTAAAATGTTCTCCGAAGCATTTTGTGCAATTATACTGAGTTCCGGTGGAGTTAATTCAAAAAAATTTAGGTCGAAATTACTCATTTTGTGTAAAAAACAACTAAACTCGCAAAGAAAATTTCGGAAAATGGCGCCAACCGTAGAATGTAAGCAGTTTTTTTTCATCCATTCTGGTAGGCAAAGGGAACTGCCCATACAGCCAAGTCTTTAGTACTTAGTATTTTTTATTATAAGAAATGAAATTGAAATTTAATGATATGAAATGAAGTGAAACCTTACCTAACTCATTCAATCAATTAATTAATTCTGATATTGGACAAATTAGTATAGGTAGCTTCTTTTTAAAAACAAATAAACCTATTTGCATGAATCGCAAAAACTTCTACGATTTTTTTTAGTTAAAACTTCATGGTTGTTTTTTTTAATAGAAATAATTTTGACAGTTGGGAAAGAAAACGCACGAGTTCGGGAAAGGCAAAAAAAAAGCACGAGTGTGAAATAGCCCAGATCCCGAACGCTACACGTCCCTGCAATACGCCACTTTTTGAGCAACTGTATTAAAAAGTCTTTTTTTTAAAGGGTGGCATGGCAAATATGCAAATGGCCCGCCTAATGGTAAGCGGCCATAATAGCTTAAAGACGCTTGCGATACCAAAGCTATCATCCGCTGTTGTCTAACCCAATCCCCTACACTATGGAGCTTTATTCACCGACAGAAACACAAAATTACTAAAAGGTAGTGTTATATTACTGTGGTCTTCTATAAATGTGGAGGTTAGACGGCCGCTCTAATTCGAGGAGAAAATCCGCCATACTCGACTTCTCTCAAGCCCTGACACAATTTCGCCTCGAGTGTAATACTCTGTTCGAATAAGATGGGTTCTGGTAAAATGAATCGGTAGTTCCATCTTTCACATCACCTTGAATTTTCCTACTGACATTCTTTTTGGACAAGATTTGCAGACAAGGCAAACGACTCATTCCATGTCCCACTTAAATGCAAATGCCGATGATAGCTTTAAAGAATTTAGAAGTATTTGTTCTGAAAGAAATTGCTAGAAGTGATCATAGGCGTTCATTTTACAATCACATAAATTATATTTATATTCGTTTTAGAAAAAAATACACCATGTTACATACTGTCACGGAAAAATATGTAAGAGCTTATAAAAAAATATGATTCATTAATTATATGAATAAACAACCGTAAAACCTATTAAGCGGCAAAACCGTTTCTAATATCGTTTTCCATAGTTAAGTGGTGTCATTATCTTTTTGTTCCCATTATAAGTATAGTTTGGTACCAGGGGACCAATCGCCTAACGGAAATGCTTTGGAAAACGCTAACGCTTTCGATTTTATTTTGTTATTTCTGACCGCCGAAGGTTTTCAAATACCTCACGCTCTTTTTATTTTATAATTGTTATTACCAATGCAAAATAAAAAAAAAGAGCGCGAGGCATTTGAAAACCTCAGGCGGCTAGAATTAACAAAATGAAATCGTAAGCGTTAGCGTTTTCCAAAGCATTTCCGTTAGGCGAATGGCCCCAGTTCGATGTTAATCATGAACTTTCCCATATTGTCTCATAATGTTATAATTAAGCAATTTCTTATGACATTCACATTTATCGTAATAGTATATTGATTTTTACTGAGAACCACGTAGATATTAAAATACCTTCCCTACAACGATTTAGAAATCTTGATAAAACTTTAAATATCTAGAAAGAATCTATACCCTGTAATTACACTGCCATTCAATATCAAACTTCATATTTGCACACATTCAACACTATAAAAGATGCACTAAAAATCATAACATTGTTATTATATAATTATACTCATCATGACCCATGTCCCAGAATTCTCCATAGAATTCAAATCGTGACAGCGAGATTTCGTGATAGTCTATCATCAAAAATTCCCTGACACTTGCTATTTGATCTTGCTTTTTACCATGATTGTTTTTTATAAACTATTTTTAATATTTGCTGATAATTGTCTTTGGAGGTGACGAACCTCAACTTGCACGTTTATTTAATTGAAACACACATTCGAAAATTTTTTTATAGTAAATCAAAATATTTTAAGTTAATAACGCAGACCAGGGAAACTACAACCAGACAACGCCGCTTTGATTATCGAATGTCATCGAAATATTCTTGGAATCATTTTGAAATTGTAAATGAAATGAACAGTCATTATCCTGACATTGTGGAAACTTGGAGTATAAATTATTATCTTAACAGCTATGCAGATTACACCACGCAGATCTTGGGGTGTTTGCCCACGATGCCACGATCTATATTTTACCCATTATCAGTTAAGTGCGCGTGTCGAGTCATGATTATTTTAGTTTCTAATTGAATTAATTTGATACACTGTCATGTTATACCTACAGTGTCGACATTACCTGGCTTTGTCCGGATTAGTAAGTTGAAGCACTTTTAATCTTCCGCTGAAATGACAGTTGACTGGCTGTATTGATCGCAAACATTATCTTTATTCCGTTTGTCGGGGCCTTAGAAGGCAAACGGTACTGAGCTGAGTTGAGAGACAATAAATAAGTTTAAAGATCCTTAGTTCATAAGATAAGGAAGCTGTGTTTAGTGAGTTACATTAAAGAGTTGGTAGTATGACTATCACGATTATCTGTAATTATGATACAATTTAATGCAGGAGTCATGTGCAGATTCTGTTCTAATTCTGTTTTGTATTAAAGTTTTGTTTTTATTGTGAATTGTGGTTGTGACTATCGAATAATGAGTGTCATGCGTTTATCCACCGGTAACTAAAAAACTAACTAAATCACTATAAAAAGCGAGGCGAGAGTTGTTCGTGCACCAAATCTGCCACAGCAATTATCTTCCCGTACGGACTTTATCTACTACGTCTAACAATAAATGAATTGTGTCATTTAATGGAGTTATTTGTAGAAAAATACGTTCAAATAAGATAGACCCAAAATAATTTACAACCCTGGGTCCATTAAAAAGCAGTGAAAAAGCAGCTTTCAGGCTGGCAAGGTGGTGGCTGGTGAGGCAGATAAAATTGCACCCGCTATCTTTGTCTCTGGATTGTGCTGTTGTTTAACATCAGTTGGTGTGGAGTAAATCACTCCACAGAACTTTATATTTTAAAATGCCTCATTTTACATGGTTACTTTAATATTTAATTTATAACAAAGACTTTGCGTTGTCCACAGCGGCCGTTTACATCGCAGGCGTGGTTGGTGCCATCGGTGTTACAGTGCTCGGCGTGTTTTGCGTACTGTCCGTGCTGCAATTGGCCATGATCTCTTCAAAGGAGCGAGTCGGCTTCAAGTACACTCATCTTGTGATGATGAAGCTGGCCCTCGCGTTGCTCGCTGGTAAGTCTGTTTCTTTATTAATTGATATTCAGAAATTTGTTTCTTAAGTTTTCACGCACGCTACCCATTAAGTAAAACACATTTCAACGGTATAGATGTACTGATTTATTTATTTGATGACGTTTCGCATCCTTTTCAGGATTATTTTTTCGGATAATTCAGAAGATGCATCTTGAAAAGGATGCGAAAAGTCAATAAATAAATAAATCAATGCATCTACATCTTTGAAACTTGTTTTATTTAATGATATTATTGAAACAAACAGCGTTTTACAATAACATCACATGAGAAGCCTTAAAAAATGGTATTGCCTTAAAAAATGGTATGGTCAATTTTAAGTTTCCCTGTACTTTAATAACAAGCATAAGCAAAGTCAATAAAAAAAAACAAAATAATCTGTGAATCAATCAAATCGTCGCGTGTTCACCCAAAAGGTTGCTACTTTATACACGCAAATAATCGTCAAGAAAATATTACAAGGATAACAAGGATGGGAATAACATCCTGTGGTACTATAAATATATATATATATATATCAACAGTGGAAAGGCAAAAACCACCTTTTTCTACATTGGCTGGATCTGACTATGGCATTCAACCAGAGGCCAATGAGATCAGATGAGGGTGGCATCAAATCCGGTGCTGTCGCATCTTGGCTGTCGCATCATCTCGCTAGACCTACAGACATAGTCAAAGTCAAATATTTATTCTATTTAGATGTATACAATTATTTGAAGCATTCAAAAAAATAGAGAATGGACTAAGAGACACTCTCATAAATTAGTAATATTATATTGTGAATAGGTAGCATGGTCGCTCTCACAGTGATTTCAAACTCATAAAAATATTAAATTTATCAAAAAATGTTTTTTTAGGTACAAATGCAAAACTTTGGTTAGGTACAAATGCTGCAAGTTCCGTTGTCATCAAATTAAGGTGTCAAAGTCATAATAATCATGTCCAGAATGTCCCTGTATAAATGCAAAAGCAATTATCACCATGAAACATGAAACTAGTCATCTTGACTACTGTGTTGTAAATAATTAAAATGACCTCACCTTCGTGTTTATAATAATTATCACTATCAACTTACGTGTTGTAAGCAAAAACCGGCCAAGTGCGAGTCGGACTCACGCACGAAACATTACCGATACAACAACAACAGCTGTTCTGTGGATACAACATTAGACACTACATTATTAAATCGAGCAAAAAACTGCAAAAAAAATCACGTCCGTTGTATGTAGGTAGTGTACCTGCTTCCAACTTAAATTAATATAAGCTTTTTGAAGTGAAACTTCTTTGGGCTTGTGGGATGGAAATGGGAAAAAATATGGAAAACATGGAAAGGAAATGCGTCACGAGCTTCACACGACTATGTATGCATATGTGTGTGGAGGGGATGCGTGCGCAGCTCTTCCCGACGAGCATGAAAGAGAGTGCCGAGACGAGCTCGGCGAAGGCTGAAACACTATGAGCGTCACACGCAACAATATATACATATATATATGAGCAGTGCCGTCTTTGACCTATTGGAGGCCCTGAGCATATTAGGATCATGGGCCCCCCCTATGACCCCCGTTTGGTGATTTAACAGGAACTAGGGACATTGTATTTGATCTGAGGGGGCCCCCTATCGATTGCGAGGTCCAGGGCACTTGCCCAAAGTGCCCACTGGGAAAGACGGGTCAGTATATGAGTGATGCATGCGCTCCATTCCTCTATGCCTTATGCACCGCCTACTGTTAGGTTATTTGAGAAAATAAGTTTTACTAATTATTACAGACGTGTGGTCCGATGCTCTAACTAAGGGACCTTACACACAATTTTATTTATTTATAAAGAAAAAATCGTGTCTAATTGCAGCGCTACTGTCGATAGCTGCAGCTGGGCTCTTCGCTGTCCAAGGCGATGATAGAGGTTACTACTTGACACGGGGAGAGGCGTTCTATGTCCAGGTAATAATATTACGTTAATTTTAATCCTACTGTCCCTACTAATGTTATAAATTTGAAAGTTTTTATGTTTGCTACACAATAACGCAAAAACTACTGTACGAGTTTGGATGAAATTTAGCACGCATATAGTTTAAGACCTGGGTTGAGACTTAGGATACTTCTTACCCTAGAAAAATGACAAGTTCCTGTAGGATTCTGAAAAAACTGAAGTTAACGCTGACAAAGTCGCGGGCGGCCGGTCGCTAGTATTTTAATAATAAAAGAAGCTCTGCTCCCTAGCATCAATAGGGTATTTGACAGTATTAAAAATAAAGTGCCAATTGTTAGCATCTGTATTAAGAATGAATATTGGCAGGAGTTTTTACTATTTTTACAGAAAAAATATTCATAATTTTACTAAAAACCCACGATAAACATAATAGTTTTCTTGTCTATTGTCACGTGACCTAAAACGCTTGGGATTGGTGGAGCCTCAAATGACGTTACACGCAAGTAGACTTCCGGTTAAAGTGACATTTGATTGTATGGTTTGACGTTTTAATGACAATCGTGTGACGTCACACACCAGTGAGACGCCATATTGTCCAGAGATACGTTTTTCGCGGCAACTTGAAAATAGATTTTTTGATTTGTTTTTTTTTTCCGTAATACACAACATAATGATGAATATCCACAAAAACAATATCTTTTTATGGACGCTATAAACATTAGTTAATAATGTGAGATCGTTTTCTAAAACTTGTCAAATACCCTATTGTCAAATTACTATGGAGTTTGACAATTACACGAAACGATATTTAATATGGTTAGTCGCGAAAAAAAAAACGTGATATAATGTAAATGAGGAGCTCGATGGCGCAAGTGGTTAGCGCGTTCGGCTGCAATCGTTGAATTTAAGCAACTTTCGCAGTGGTCGGTCATTGGATGAGTGACCACAATTTGACTATCTCTAGCTCCACTGTGTCCTTCGGAAGGCACGTTAAGCCGTTGGTCCCGGCTGCATCTACAGTCGATAGCACCCACCAATCCGCACTGGGCCGCGTGGAAAGTCATGGACCAAACTCCCTATTCCATCCATAGGGAAGGCCTGTGCCCCAGCAGTGGCAGTAATGGGGACATTAATAGGCTGATGATAATGATGATGCGATAGGTAAACCCGGTCTAAAATGATGCTTTCACTCACAAAGACTGGGACAGTATTAGGTTCAACACAGTGAATGCGGTTTTGTAGTTTTTTTGATAAACTTGTTGGGGGATCGAGAATCGTAAGTGTTTATTGTACGTCACTATATATAGCATTATTACCATTAAAATATATCAGGTTACAAATACTTAACTATGCACCTTTTTTAGTACTGAACGCTACAAAAACAAGGGCTATTTTAGAAGCTTTTTACTTATCTTAAAGAGCAAACATTTTTGGAGGTTGGCAAACCTGCAGAAGTTGATTTTGTGTGCACCATTACACTCAATTATAATGAATAGGGTATTTGACAGTATTAAAAATAAAGTGCCAATTGTTAGCATCTGTGTTTAGAATGAATATTGGCAGATGTTTTTATAATTTTTACAAATAAATATTCATAATTTTACTAAAATCCCACGAAAAAGATAATAGTTTTCTTATCTATTGTCACGTGACCCAAAACGCTTGGGATTGGCAAAACCTAAAATGACGTCACGCGCAAGTAAACTTCCGGTTAAACTGACATTACATTGTATCGTTTGACGTTTTAATAACAGTTGTGTGACGTCACACACTAGTAAGACGCCATATTGTGCAGAAAAACGTTTTCGCGGCAACTTGAAAATGGAGTTTTTGATTTGGTTATTTTTACTGAAATACACAACAGAATGATGAATATCCTCTTTTTACGGACTTCATAAACATTAGTCAATAACGTGAGATCGTTTTCTAAAACTTGTCAAATACCCTATTACCAATTATATTAAAAATAAAATAATTTATTTTTTAATTTTTATTACATTAATATCAATTTTAGGTATAATTTAAAGGTTTTTTTTAAATAACCTCTTATAGGTCGCGGCTCTTAACTCTAGCGCTCAACAAAATGCGTCAGGGATAGCTGCGCATGGGTACGACTGGAGAGCCAATCGGCGCAACTCACGCCCACCCGCGCACCTCTGTTTCCCCCTAAGACATCTTAATTTTAACTTCTGCGCAACAATATTAAATACCCTAGATACACCACGTGCGCTCAAAATGTGTCCCCTATCAAGAAGTGCTTGAACACGACTCAAGCACTTTTTGGTTCATAGTCACGCGCGGACCGTTGAAAAGTCAACATGTCACTGAGCTCCGTGAAAAAATGCGAAATTAATACTTAAAGTATGTAAAATTTCTTTTTTTCGACAGGTTTCTAACCAATATTTGTTAATTTAACGCATTTGAAGCAAATTTTCTTTTAGTACTTACTATAAACTGATTTAATAGAAAATATTTGTGATATTCAAATGCATGAGCGGTAGTATAGCTTTCTCCTTTCTTCGCGGTCCGTACCTGCTATATTGCTAACAGCGCATTCAGAATTGCGCGTAGAGTCAAAGAAATAAGGTCTATATTCTTCCGCATATAGCAATAATTCGTAAAATTTACATATTGGACTCTTTGACGCATGCGTTTTAATTAAGACCTTATGTAGTGTGCTTTAAAGGTGATTTTGATGTTTAAATCATGCCTTTTATTGTTTAGACTGCGCGATCATCTTACGGAGCTCCGTGGAACGTCCAATGTACCTTTTGAACAGGTTTCGGGCATGATTTTGTTCGTGTTGTTGTATCTAGGGTATTTAATATCGTTGCTTCTGCGCAATAACGGTCAGCGCTAGAGTTTCGTGCCGCGACTTATATATATACCCTCGTATTCCAGATCGTGTGCATAGTCATAAACTCTTTACTCTTCATAATGTCACTGTACGACGCGTTGTTCTCTCGCCGGAGCGGCGGTGATCCCACGACTGCGGGCGAACCAGACGCTACCACTATCAACAACCCTGGATTCAAGGAAGGCAGGGGTGAGCATACTATATTCTATTGAACTTCCTTTGAGCCGAACAGTAAACAAATAAACCAGTGTTGCCTTTTTTTATCAAGAGTAAATATATTCGGTGTGACCAGTCTGATTACAAAATTTCACATTTCAACGTAAAGTTCTGCCTCTCCTCCCCCTCTCCCCTAGGACACAAAAATGTAGTCAAAAAGTAACTCATTTGTCTTGCTTGCCTGAACAAAAACTGATACATACGTTATAAATATGACTCTTTTTTCACACTTTTTTTTGATCGTTCATCATGGGCTATTGTGAAGATGGGCATTGCAACTCTCTTCTTCTCATCAGCTAAAAGATCTCCTGGATACCCATGCAGCCCCCCTAGCATGACTAACAAAACGCGATATGATAAAGCGATTTATCGACACTCAGCTGTCAAACTCCATTGTAGTTTGACAGTTAATGTCGATAAATCGCTTTATCATATCGCGTTTTGGTACTCATGCTAGGGGGGCAGGTGTTGAGAAAATATTACACGATTCAGTACCGCTTTCCATAAGTGAATATAAATACAGTATAATTACATTTAATATTATTAATTTCATTAAGTAAATAAAAAATCTTGCTCCTCTGCTAGGTATTTCAATGACTGACGCGTCCGGCAAGCCGTACAGTTCCAACGGCCATGGCAGCGTCGGTTCCGTCAACACTACAGCTACAACACTCACCGGGCTATCAGATGCAAGCACAATAACTAGATCACCGCTCAGATCTTCACTTAAAAAACCCCGGCCAAGGGAGGGCGAGCCCGGAGGCCTGGGCATTCAGAACCCGGGCTATTCGGGCCATTCACCACCTCTAAACAGGAACGGAAGCCAGAAGAAAGTGCGAATACAAACGCACAGCACCGAAGTGTGATTGTTAAAGTGTGTGAATTAGTGTAGTCAGTGACATAAAAAGTTGGAGCAGCACTCTAGTGAAATATATGAAAGTCATCAACTCAATAGTCAAATATCGGAAAGTTAAGAACAAGTCCAGAACCCAGGCTAATCGGGCCATTCACCACCTTTAAACAGCAATGGAAACTGGAAAAAAGAGCGAATACAAGTGCACAGCACTGAAATGTGATTCTACAGTATCTACATAAAAAGTGGAGCAGTGCTCTAGTGAAATAAATATCTGTAAGTAAAGAACAAGTTGTGTCGACTCGACAAGTCTGAAGGTGAAGGTAATTATTTTATCAACATAGTTTTATATAGTTGTACATAAACTTTTATAGTCTACGTAATATCACTTCTCACTCGTCTAAATAAGGATACAGAAATCTGAGTTTACTACTTTTACAGAAGACATGGTTATAAATCATGATGCAAAGTACTTGTGGTACACCACTACCATGCCAACAAGTAAAAGCATATGAACAAGAAATGACAAATCATAAATAATGTTTCTCATCTTATGTAGAAAGTAGCTAAACCTGACCACAAAAGATTACAGATATTGCATCCATTGTTATGGTCTTTATTAACTTTAATACTAAACTTAGAGTTTTTAGCCAGCCACCTTTTACACTTTCACATGATTTAAAATTACATTATGCAGATTTTAGTTAAAACTGAAAGGTGTATAGTATAGCAAAAGGATCACATTTCAATGATGAAGTCAACCCACCCATATTGGTCTAATAAAAAAAAACGACGGTTTGCACTCAGGGAGTGCCAGCGGAAGTGTAAACTTGAATATTAATGTTGTGCATTTTTGATATTTTGGAATAGTTAGGGAATAACTTTGCACGGATTGATTTAATTATCAGTATAAAAGTACTATCATGTATGTGGTAGAATACAATATTTATTTATTGCACTATCATACACAAACATGACAATTAATATTACATTAAAAAAGTTTATCTCTCAGAATCAACTTACATGAATCACGTTTGAGCGCACTTAGCGACATCTATTGTAAAAAAAATGCATTTTCTTCGCAATAAAGCTGGACGTCCTAGATAGAGATTTATTATTTTAATACGATAAAATAAAATATTACTATGTTTCGTCCAATATATTGAAAGTCAACAACCTTTCCAATTTTATTGTGTGTCACGATGCGATCAGCCCACGTGTTTAACCTGACGCGAGTTAAAAGAGTGTACAACGCCGCTAAAGAAGTTTTCCCTTCAAAAAAAAGAGTTATGTATTGTGGCAGTTTTGCTGTGTTTCTTCTATCGCCTTCTAATAATTAATAATATACTAACTGTCAGAATTCATTTCATTTTGGGAGACCAAGATAAAAGTAAAAAAAGTTATATTAGGTGATTCACTGTTGTTTTTGCCATTTTAACTTTTATAAGAATTCCTTTATAAGCTACAGATGAGTTAAGTCAAGTCATTGTCAAAAATGCTCTACAATACTTTTAGAAAACATAGGTACTACAAAAAGTTTATTGTTGTTGTCAAACCGATATCTGCTATGTGCACTATTTAGAGATTTCGACATTTGCATCATTATAACTTCTATACTCATACAGCTGTAAGAATAGAGTAGGGGAGATATAGACTCTACTACAAATGGAAGGGGCCCTCTAATAGAAAGAGAAAGAAGATGAGAGACCGCTAGCTTTCTCTCTCTAATCGCGCATGCGCATTGGCAACCATAAGCATCTTACTTTTTCGATGTGAAGCCATTGGATGCTATGCGTCACAAGAGAGAGAGATAGCTAGCGGTCTATCATCTTCTTTCTCTTTCTACTAGACGGACACTTTTAGAGCCGCCTTCTCCACTCTAGGAGTATACTAACCGAATTTTGGAAAAAAAAAACGCTTTGTGAATCTTAGCATTGCAACGTTGTTGGTGAACAGAGGATGCTTAAAAATGTCTACTATGTGTCAGTAATATTTTTTGTACGTGCCAATATTGATTTTAGAACAACCACTTTCTACTTACAGCATTGAACTGTGAAACTTTTTTTAAATGAACATATAAATTGATTATAGAATGAGATTCTGGCATAATTTTTCAAACTTAAAACTAAATTAAACATCAGTCGCTCCTTTCCATTCTGTATAGAGAATGCCAAGGATACACTGTTGTCAAATTTAAGTTTAGGTTTAGAGCATCATGTCAAAATCGACACCATAAAGCCAGAAACATATTAACATATCGTGGCGTGACGTGGCGCATTGGTTTCATACATTTATCATGGGTTAGAGAGAGATAGAGAGGTTAGAGCGTCGACACGACACGACACGTTAATATGTTTCTGGCTTTATTTGTTTTTAAATGAAGACTTGGGAGAATAACAATAAAAACCGGGAGTGATAATTATGTTTAATTAATGATATTTGAAATTATAATAAAATTAATGAACACTACAGTAGTTTTGATGTACCTATATAGTTTTTGTTAATTAAGTGAATCTTGTTTGAATTCCTTATGAATTAATAGTCTACTTGTAATCCATCACATTTTGAACTAATTGTGGTTAAATATTCAAAACTGCATATCGGTATTGTTAAGCCAAGAATAATTGTATTTACTCTGCTCACAAAGGAAATTTTTACTGTTGTATTAAATACAAAGGAAGTATTTTGCTGTACTGCAAGCAAAAAAATCATCAATTATATACTCTGGCAAATTTCTGTAGTACCAACCATGGACAAGGAGTCATGTACAGTAGCAATTTTACATGCAAAAAAGTTTACTGCGCTAATAATAAAAAAATACATTTAATTGTTTTTTTTTGCCTGAAAGAGATTTGGATGATGAAAGGTCTGGATTTTTATTCTGAGTATCTTTGAATATTTTCCATATATATACATGCTTTTCTCAAAGGTCTTGTTGAAATCTTTTGATTATTGTAATAGGACCTGGTTAGTAAGAACTTAGACATTGTACTAGCACTTTTTAATTTATGTATATTATTAAACTTGAACAAAGTTCTGTATTCATATTATGTATATCTTTATACACAAACATACACTATGTATATAACCAGCACGAAGTGTTGTATAAAAATGTTGTTTATGTGTTATTGTTACTATTATATATATATATATATATACTAGCTGACCCAGCGAACTTCGTACCGCCCTAAAAAAATAGGGGTTGTCCAGCGGACAAAATTGTGAATCTAAACCATTCTCAGATCCCCTTGAACACACACAAAAAATTTCATCAAAATCGGTCCAGTCGTTTAAGAGAAGTTCAGTGACATACACACTCACAGAAGAATTATATATATAAAGATATATATATATTTAGTGCTTGTTGTATAGTTTCACGCATTTTTATATTAATAGATTTTATTTACTGATTAGAATATACTTAATTATATCTTATATTGCAATATAGATTTTTTTATAGATATTTAAAATATTTTATAAATGATATTGTAAATACACAATGGTATTAAATAAAGTTATTTAATAAAAAAGCCCACCAGACTTGTAACAAGTCTACAATTTAGTGTTACATTTTTCCATTGCAATGCATTTCTTTTTTTTTCTATATTGTGCTTGTTATCAATCTTACGTATTAATCTAAAAAATTTTACAAAAACGTAGCAATAATCTCAAATGTTCTTCTGTAATTGAATTCAGGTTGTAGTATGTATTTTCGGTTGTTGGTATGTTATCTTTTTTGGAACAAGTCAATGTGCCTTGTCCTTTAATGTGTGCCTTAACTGAAACCTTGCAATAATCCATTGTAACACTTGTGAAAATCTATTTTATTTATAGTTATTTAGATTATTTCTCTATCCGTCCAAACTCTGGTCTTAAAATAAAATTAATTCTTGTATGTTATGTAAGTTATTAGTAGATGTTAATGTTTGTTTTTAGTTTCTAATTCTGGCTGATATATTTTTATTACATAAATTCACTGTTTTAAAGACCTAAAAATGTTGACTTAAAGCCGCGTCTCGAGCGCGTGTTTTGCACAACACAAACACAATCAACAAAAACATCAACATTCAACAAAATCGTCTACACAAAACTTTGCTTCACAACACATATTTGTTTGCATCAACAATGGTTTTGCTTTCCGAGCACGATACAAACGTACAAAAATGACCTCCGCGTGGGTCAAGGGGCAGGGGTATTGTTTCATCAGTTATTTTTAAACCACAATTTTTCTCTCTGACGTTTGAATTTTGACATGAAATGTATGAAACTTTTGTCATATTTGACATTAAATTTGTAGCACCTGGATCGTAGGTTTAGAACGCAGGCCTATGTATTTTTTCGCGTGTGTAGAGAAACATGTTTCAGATACAAAGTTTTCTCTATGCGATTAGATGGGTCTCCAGCAAAAGTTTTTTGAAAACATTCAACATAAACACGTACACAAAACTGAAAAATAATTCGTACTGTCCAATTATTATTGATTGCCTTGGATTATTACATGAATGCTCTTTAAATGGTTATGGTGTATCGATTATTTTTATAATTATGGATTCTAATATTCTAGGCAATGAAAAAGCCTATCAACTCACTAAAGAAGCCATAGTTTCTGGCGACTTATGAAAATTATTGTCATGATTTAACTTCCCAAGCCAATGTATTTTTAAGACATTCTTGAGATGAAGAATGGCATCTTAGTAGTTAAAATAAGGGAACATATTAACGTATTCAGCAATATATTCCTTGCAAACCATGGTTTATTTACACAAGGCTTGGTAAAGTACCTACAACTATTAGAACAAGAAAGAGGCTTGGACATACCTGTATGCTGTCCCATTCAATAAAATAACACATTGTTTAGGAGGATTTGTGTGAATGTGGCACTGCACTTGGTGACATCGATCATATTTTTTTCCTGTCCTCTTTATGACCATAAATCCATTTATGATATCTTTGTTACCCACCGTATCCCTCTTCCCACCTCGATGACTTCACTTCTATATAGTAATCATAGTATTGTATAATCCTTTTTTCCTTTTTTTCCCTACCTTTTATTTGTCGTGGCTAATATCCAAGCCGGGTAGAGTCCACTAAAATAGACTAATACCCTGCCTCTCGACCCGCGCGGGGGTGATTTGTTTTGCTCGAAAAGCCAAAACATTGTTGATGCATACAAATATGTGTGGTGAAACAAAGTTTTGTTGAATGTTGATATGTTTTTGTTGATTGTGTAGGGCAAAAACACGCGCTGGAGACCAGGCTTACGATATATCCGCCGGAATATTACTACCTATATTATGTGTTCTCATAAACATATAATTTATATTTGTAAAATTTTCATAGAGCAACACAGAAACGTCACCCGTCACCTGGCATCTGTGTTGCTCTATGTAAATTATTGATCTTACTTTTTTGTCATTCCATTAGTCATTATAATATTACTTTCAACGGAATACTACCTTGTTTAGTAAGTTAGTACTTTTAATAACATTTCTATAAAGATAAGAATTGGTAGTTGCAAATGGTGGTACTTCTATTTACCTCACTTAATTATTATATAATTATACGAGTGGGAGGTAATTAGTAGAGTATGTATATTGTTCATGTAAAGTCACCATTTTCTATCCCCTTACCTTTAACTGACCGAGTACTTATGTGGTTATAAATATTTTTAAGTAACATTTAAAAGGATAAATAATCTCTGCAAAAGAATATCACACAAGTAATCTCCGTCCGAATTGTTTTTATTTCTGAATTCTATCTACAATAATTAATTCGTAAGTTACACTGACAAATACAATTTATAAAGTTTGTATGGGTGTTTTTATTAAAATAGCCTACAGATGAACGGGTTTACATGAAAGTTTATGTCTACAATTTGTTAGAGAAGAAACCGATTGCAAAATAAGAAAAATATTTCTGTTTCGACAAAAAAATTCATAATTCTTGCTTAATAAATAACTCAGTGATATCAAGATCAACTATGATACAGATAAAACTGAATTTTCTTGGCCGTTGAAATCCAATATTTTTCTCATATTCGGTACGCATAAAAAATTGAGTGTCCTCTGAAAAATTGAGTGATTGTTGCCACTCCCGGGGCGGCGAGAAAGGCGTCACGTCTTTTCCATACATTATAAAAAGGTTTTTTTATCTGTGAGAAAGAACTGTAGATTAGATTAGATTTCTTCAGTGATGGCTCGAAAGAACTGTACACCTAGCACGAACCAATATCGAATTCGTATCGTTTGCGAGTCCGAAATATCATTGTCAAATGTGTACTGATTTTTAGTTCTCGTTGCGTTCTTTGTGCCGCTACTGTTCAAGTTTACATACAAAATTTGGTATTGACATTACAGTTTGCAAACTATTCGAATTCGATAATGGTTCGTGCTAGGGGTTCTGATCGAAGCAATGTCACTGGACAAATACTCTCATCATTGTACTTGGACAATATCCAAACAGACTGTCTACGAAAATATATAATAGTCTTATACTTTATCTTTGTAATGGGGGCCCTCTCTTGGGGTGTATTCCGTAATATATACCAGTATACTGAACAGTGCTAATGACGACGTCGTGAATCGACGCTGTACTGGTTAATTGTTCCGAAATATACAGGCCAGTGCACTTACGTCATAAATCGACGAATTATTAAAAAATGTGCGGATAAAGAAGATTTTTTTATTCACCTCATCAATTAAAAGGAATTCTCTTTATTCGGATGCTACCATTGTTCTTTAAATAAAAAAGAAATAAAATTCGAATCACAGATGAATGATTGGTCTCGCTTCACTCCACTAGATACCGCGCTATCAAAAAACAACAGCTCCGGATATGGGGCAACTCATTATTGTAGTGTGTGTATGTCACTTTGCAAGGACGGTCAGTTTTGCCAACTCACATTTTGAAAATGACGTAGGTCCGATGAGAAAATTACGTAGAATTAGTAAAATTTGCATATGAAAGTTCGTAGATTTACGTACTTTTTTTTTTAGTAAAATGAAGAAGTTAGGATAGGTAAAACCGAATAAAACGAGTATTTTGTTATACAATTTATTTAAAAAAGGAAGATAGAACATAGAGTTCTTGGAGAAAACGCTGCATTGGCAGCATATACCATGCTGTGGTAGACATTTACCATCAGACACAGACACTGGTGACTGTCGATTCTGGCATGATTTTCTAAACTTAAAACTTAATTTAAGATCAGTCTCTCCTTTTCGTTATGTATAGAAAATGACAAAGATACACTGTTGTCAAACAGGCTAGTTGACACTTTTTGAAAATACGTTTTAAATGGTTAATAATTGATCAATAGTTTTTTTCAGTCTATTAAAACTGAAAAAAATGTATTGTATTTTTTTTGACCTAGAAAGCTACAAAACTTTAATTTTACAAAAAGAGTTCATGGACACACAAAAACCCTGTTGGCCATTTTAGTCTATAGATTTATCTATGCTATGACGTCAAAACCATTTGTAAACAAACACTCGCAAGCACGTAGGAAATAAACTATTTGAGTTTATATTAGAAAACCATAATTGCTAAAAGATTACATAAAAGTAATTATCATGAGTTAAAGACAAAAGTTGTGGTTTAAATTGCCTAGAGAAATAAATATACTTACACATGAACACATGTTTAAAACTTGCTAAATCCTATAACTTTATTGACTAAAAGTCATTTCTTTTTGCAGAGATCACTTCGATGTAAGTATACATTGAATAAAAATTAAATTTTAAAATACAATTTTTAAGGTTATGAATGTACCTACTAAGTCGAAGAGTTTTGTCGTTTCTGCTTTCACAAATCCGGCGTCCAACATTAATTTAGTCAACAAAATCAATAAACGTAAACTTTTCTACAAGATATGAGTTTTTAGATATATTTTAGTCCGACGAAAGAAACTATAGTACGTGCTACTGTGGTTTCTTTCGTCGGACAATGACGTTTAGTTGTTTACAAATATTGTGACGTCACAATCATAGTGGAGAACGTTTTCTGTGTTTAAAAAGTATAGACTGAAGTGGCGCTGGCCGACCACTCCTGTCATGTTTGGTTGCGCTCAATAAATTTTCTCATAGTCCAAAGACTGATTGCAAATAATATATATAAAAAAAAAGTATAGACTAAAAAACAATTTTTCAAATTAAATAACTACAGTCATCTTCTAATTTTATGAAGTGAAATCGATGTATTAAGGTTCCTCATACCAAAAATTATAAGAAATATACATTTGTATAGTTTTTAAGTGAAGTAACGGAAAATATGCTACTTTATTCTAGTGAGTTATGTTATTTTGCAAATTTGTACAAATTAAAAGAAAATACTTAGATTCTGGGACTGAAATTAGTAGGTTTGCAGAAAAGGCCTAAAATACGTAGATCTACGTAAAAAGACGTAGAGTTGGCAACACTGAGGACGGTGTCATATGTCAAAAAAAATGTAGCCAGCTGCTCAACTGCTACCCCAGTAATAGGGAAAATATTTAATGCTGTTGTCGATCCACACTAACAATACCAATAGGCTAGTTGACCCTTTTTGGAAAAAGGTTTTAAATGGTTAATAAATGTTCTATTAGACCGAAAAAAAATGTATTGTAATTTTTTTAAACCTAGAAAGCTACAAATCTTTAATTTTAAAATAGACTTTTCATGGACATACAAAAACGCTGTCGGCCATTTTAGTCTATAGATTATCTATGCTCTGATGTGAACTGTGGTAAACAAAAACTCGTAAACACGTAGAAAATTACTTTTAACTGAGTTTATAATAAAAAAAAACATGATTTCTAATAAATACCACGAAAAATAAAGTAATTATCATTACTGTATTGTACGAGAATATACAAACACATCCTTGAAGACTCCAGGAAAGTTGTGGATTAAAGTGCCGAAAGAAATTAACCTACGCAACTTTATTACACTTATTCATATGTTGTATCAGTTTTATGTTTATTACTACATTGTAATACTAAATACACTGTACTTACATAGATGCCTTGTCGTTTCTCTACTCCGCAGAGCAGAAATCGGGGTTTAGTGCAACAAATTCACCAACCATCAATGCGTCAATTCTTGGCAGATTTGTGCTTTCTGCTTTCACAAAGCCGGCATCCATAATTAGTTTTGTCAAAAAAAACTAAGTTTACTGTTTTTTTTCTTTCCTAAAGTTAAAAGTGTTTTAAGATAAATTTAGTCAGACGAAAGAATCTACCTACAGTAACACGCGAATGACATTTAGTTGTTTGTTTACCACAAGAGACGTCAAAATCATGGCGGATGTGGCGAACAGCGTTTTTAGTGTTTAAAAAATATAGACTAAAAAATATTTTTTTAAATTAAATTTCTACAGCAATCTTCTGTTTTTATTAAGTGAAATCGATATATTAAGGTTCCTTAGACTAAATACTTTAAGAAATAAACATTTATTTAATACATTTCGACATGAGTAAACTAGCCTATTACAAAATCCGTTTAAGAATGAATATATATATATATATTTTTAATAACTTTATGGCTTGGATGCTGGTTCTTTAAGCCACGTCTTCGTCTATTCCTGATTCTTTATTTAAATATTTATTAAAGTGGCTTTCACATGTTTGAATATTATAGGAAAATTCTTGGGATTTTTCAAGTAGTCTTCTAGGCGGCGGGAGACATTATTTACATTTTCACTTATTTCACAGAGTTCGCTTACTAATAAAATCCGTTGAATACTAAATTGACAGCATTCAAATATCAAATGATTTATGTCACCGGCACGGACCTGTCACCGGTAGCAGTATTACAATACGGGCACATACTATCAGTTATTATCTTCAGTTTTCCCAAATGAGCTGGTGTTTTGTGGTGGCCAAATCGCAGGCGATTTATTGTGGTGATAAAGTCACGGCTGGCTATTTTCAGCGTTGCATACCATGGCTTAGAAGGTATCTTCTCTTGTATGCTTCCATACCATTTGCCTTTAATTTGTTGATCACGGACCTGAAAAAAAGACGGACGTAACCTCGTCTTAACTCGAGTGAAGCATGCAAATGGCCGCCCGCTTACAGCGTGTGCGTGATTTGAGGGTTGTCGGGTAAATCATCAATTTCCCTACTTTTTAAATCTCCCAAACTAAAACATTGTTAACATTATGTAATCAAATATATATTATAAAAACGGGATATTTACCACGTGTTTTACTCATTGTGAGCTCCTGATTTTTCTACAATTTAAACGGTCTATCAAATTCATTTTTAGGAACACCGAGATAGAAAAGAAAGCACTTGTTATGTAAAAAGAACTTTATTGTTTACATATAAATGTTAGTGTCTTAATATTATGTATGAGGTTAATAACATTAATATACATAAATTGCGCAGATTAATGCTTAAAATATAAATATAATAGACTAATATTGCTATTTCTTCTTTCAAATGTAAGTATTTCATTCATAGATTGAGTAGGTATTTAAAGGCTGACAGAGTGAGGAAAAGAGATATCATGCCTGGTCCTGAATCGGTGCTGCCATCTATTGCATATACATTGATACATACATTACCGCAGCATTCAATCTTTAATACTTTGTTGTTAGCAATTCTTATGTACGGTACAGATGAAGGAGTGATATCAGTAAGCCAGTCCCGGTGCATGGTCATGTGCATGGACGCCCCTGAGTCAACATGCCAGAAGTCGGAGTCATTTGCTGTGAATGCTGAAAAAGCAGCGACATATCCTGTATTTTTATCCTTTTTACTGTCTGTGTTTTTATCATAACTTTTCTTCTTGTTCCAACAATACTTGCTGAGATGTCCGTATTTATTACAGTTAAAGCATCTTGGGCCTTTCTTATCGGGTTTGAGCTCTTGCTTCCTTTTTGTGTTTGTATAAAGTGCGGTACAACCCTATCGTTGCTAGATTACTATTGTGAACTACATGAAAATTCGTTGAAAGGCAACAGGCTTTGGTTCCTGTAGCCTTTGGTTTCTTAAGCTGTATTTTTAATATAGTTTCATGATCAACTTCTTGTAAAAATAGCAATTTTTAGTTAAAATAGTTACTTACCATTGAAAACTTAGGTTAGGTCTATTTATGTTTTGACACAGGCCACAATCAATTACAGAACTCTTCATATTTATGTTTAAATCCTAAATCTAATTAATTTCACGGTTTTGAAATCCTCTAATAAGAATCACGTCCACAACTTTGAGTTTATTTGTAAACAAACTAGGGAACCGCCACGGACCTGAAAAGGTCCGTGGGAACCGCAAACTACTTAAGGGGAACTAAGATGGCGACACGAGCACAATAGGGAAGATGCATATATAATATTTATGAAAATTTTATGATTAAAATGTTAAAAAAATATAAAAGAAATGCCACTGCAACGTTTTTATTTTACATAATGTTGTTTTTTAACAATTATTAGGAATTAAAAATACTTGAAACAGAACGTATTTTAAAACACCAATCAGCGATTAGTGACATCACTCCTGTTATGACAACTTCTTTGAGGTTATGGTTGTTAAAGTAAATATTATTTTATGGGAATATTAATTGCATTTTTTTACATTTAATAAAAATGGAAGTTGCGTTTATCAAAGCAGACTCCAGCAATTTACCAAGAGTTAGTGTTGACATGGTTATAACTTTTTTTGTCCAAAGTGCAGAGTTTTTAAGTGTAGAAATGAAAGGGACTAAATTACTACGGTCGTAGTTGGTAAACTTCGTATTTTATTCAGCGGCTTCTACAAATCTTACGGCGATAATGCAATCGGGGCTAAACGGTACAACCGCGATACCAAGGTTGAATGTATGTTATATTTTTTACTGAAAAGATCTGTATTTAAGAAGTAATTTGTGCTAAGTTTCATCTCCCGGAGATGCGTAGTTTATTTGAAAAAAAAATATGAAAATCGAAAATATTTCGTCAATAATGACTAAACTTTGACAGGTTTGTCATATATTGTACTTGTTAGTTTTGTTCAAGCAAAGGTAATGGGTTTATAGAGCCTTGAATAAAACGTTTTGATTTTAAATTTTTTAATAAATTTACTGTAAACTTGCAAACAATATCTGATAGTTTGGCTTAGCTTTCCATTATATGTAATTGAGTTGCAAGCTGAAATTTTTGTCACGCAAAGTATTAACTATTATAAACACGTACACGAAATCTTTTAAGGCGGAAACGAATAGAACTCGAGAAAAAAATTATTGAAAATTAATGTTTT